CTGACGTTTCGGGCCTAGACCCTTCTTCAGAAAAATTTTTCTGAATTTTTTTGAATTTTCTGATTTTTCTGAAGAAGGGTCTAGGCCCAAAACGTCAGCCTTCCTGCTCCTCTGATGCTGCTTGGCCTGCTGTGTTCATCCAGCTCTACACCTTGTTATCTCAGATTCTCCAGCATCGGCAGTTCGTACTATCTTTGGGATATTAATACTCTTTATTTAGCAGCCTGCCACAGTCAGTGCTGTGAAAGTGACATGGCTTGGCCTGCCCTACCCAGTGAGGGTTCAGCCAGATTAAAGCTACATTGCACATTACTGAAGGCTCCTGCAGTGGAATTTGGACACAGATATGCAAAGCACGGATGCAGGATTTTTTTTAAAAGAAGTAGGTGTGGGAATATAGCAATGCAACAGTGACTGCAGCCGCCGGAAGAGTCGGACCATTATGAACTGAAATTAGAAACAAAATCGGAAATTGTGGGCTTAAATTTAGCTAATCAAGTGCTTTTCTTAATAGCGCATCTCTGCATCTGCACCAGATGTTCATTTCAATTACTTTGGCCAATCGATCGATGGGCAAATGGATTTAAATGATGATGGTCTAGTCGATATTACAGTTGGAGCACTAGGTGGTGCTGCCCTCTTCTGGTTTGTATCAGTTTTGCATTATTCCCTTTTATTGCGATTCACACCTTATTCTCAGAGACTTTATTCTGTACAATCTGTAAATTTATGGACTCCCATTTGTACAAAGTCAATCAAATATATTTTTTGCCATGGAAGATTCACCCATCACTTTGCCCTGTAATACAAATGCTGTTTGAACAGTACACATCAGTAAATAAAACAAAATGATTTCCTGAGGTAACTTGGCAGTAATGTAATCCATAGGTTACATTTTTGTTATCCTAGAAATCATTGTTTTAAGTACTGGATTATAAAGCTTTGTGGTAGTTTTAATTTTAATCAGTTGTGATTCTGAGATGCTGAGATTGATCAGTAATCACCAAGTGTGTTCTAATTAAGTGTGTAATTGTTGATATTGAAAATACAGCATGATTTTCATAACTGTTTTTATAATCTTTCACTAGGTCCCGTGACATAGCTCAAGTCAGGATAACCAGACTGAAATTTCAACCCAACAAGATCAATATGCAGAACAAGAATTGTGTGATTGATGAGAAGCCAACAGTGTGTATTACAGCAGAGCTTTGTTTCAATGTTAGTCTGAAGTCTGGTAAACAGCCATCACAACCAATTGGTATGTTAATATGGATTGTAGCATTGAAACCAAGGAGATTTGTGTATTTCTCTTTGAAAAATGCAGTCCCTCTGAACATCTACTTATGCAAAAAGTGGGTGTAATGCACATTATATCCGGGTTTCACAGGCATCGCTGATGTGAGAGAACTTGCTGCTGATCTCAAAGAAAGTTGCCGACAAAGATCTCGCAGTCTCTATGGCATCAAAGTTCCTACCCGTGAGATTAATTTGAAGTCTAAGTGTTGGCAACAATGATGCTACAAGCAAATGAAGCAACAAATCACCTTGAAGGAATGCTATAGACAGCAAAGCAGGGATGAAAGTGCACTGAGACAACAAGGTGCAGGGCTGGATGAACACAGCAGGCTAAGCAGCATCATAGGAGCAGAAAGGCTGATGTTTCGGGCCTAGAGAAGGGTCTAGGCCCGAAA